ATATATATATATATATATATATATATTCTCTAAATTTTATATATTTAAAGATGCTTCGTGTGTATAGAGAGTCTTTTTTGGAGATACTCTTATTAAGCCAAACAAACTTTAATGGGTTAAATAATTTCCGGCGTCCAGCAAACATTCATCCGTCATTGTGGAAGCAGGAAAACAAATTTACAGAGAGCTAGAATCCCCTAACCACCTCAAAAGCCCTATCTACTGATGCACATAAAATAAGTAGAAAAATGTAAAGTGGATAGATAGATAGATTTAGATATAGAGAGAATTTAAGAGGCAATACGTTGAGCTGACTGGTAATGGAGTCCTGCTGGTTCTCTGGAGATAAAATCACGCTTCCGGTTGCCGACCTTGCCCCTAATTTAGCAAACGCATTGTGCGTCGTCAGCCAGGTGTACCGATTAAAAGGCAAGCTTTTCACCTGTATTCGATCGCATCAAAATTAATCATTGAAAACCCAAAAAAGTCCAAACACAGTCAAATTCAAAGTGTAAAAGACTTTATAGGCATATCGATGCATATATATCGGCAAACCTTAGAGAGAGGATTGATAGGTTGAATTCGAGTGCAGCGTGGTCTGACATTGTTATTGGCGAGGCATGTTTCGCAGTGCAACCCTGGGCCACAGTCACTGTTCCGGATGCAAGTTTCTCCTTGCTGTAACCCAGTGCAAAAGAAAAAAATCGATTATACAGTAAGTAAAAATTGAGATCAACACACACTTGTATGAGTAAAGTGTTTTGCAGTATACTAAATAGAAACATAAAACCTTAAGAGCTGTGGCGTAACCAATGAGGATGGTCGAACAAAATAGAGTGAAAATATAGAAATTCATAGTGAAAAAACAATCTGCAATTAGCAAAAATGATCGTTAGGGTTTGAAGAACTCAGATTTTGCATAATTTCACCTCAATGACAGATTTATACATCCATAACATTATACATTACATACAAATACGCATATATCCGTGCACTTGATTGTGC